ACATAAGTTTAGAAATGGCATCATGACATTTTCCACTGACAAAAAAAAAAAAAAAAAAAAAAAAAAAAATATTTTACATAGATAAAGCCCTTCGTAAGGTGTGGGCTGTACTCGTGAGAACAATTTTTTGTATTTCTTTAAGGCATGGACTTCCAGGAATCCCTTCAATTAGTCTATTGGAATCTTTTCCAACCAATCCGAGGGCTCCAACTACAACAGGGATTGTTGATGTTCCCATGTGCCACATTTTTGAGATTTCGATTTCAAGGTCCTTGTATTTTGATAGTTTTTTTGAAGATCTTCAAAGATACATTGCAGTCTGCAGGAACTGCCCTATGAATAAGGAGGCATTTTTTTTTTTTTGTGGTCTTTAATAACAATATCTGGGTGGGTTGTTTTGATTGTTCTGTCTGTGTGTATTGTGTAGTCCCATAAAATTGTAACAGGTCCTATCTCCGTAACCGGGTCTGGGTGGTGTTCATACCAGTTTTTTTCAGTTTCCTTTCCGTAGAAGTTGCAGATTTTCCAGTGCAGATATTGGCCCACTCTGTCATGCCGGGTTTTATATTCAGTGGGTGCCAATACCGTGCAACCTGATACAAGATGATCAATTGTTTCTGGATATTTATCACAGAATCTGCATTTTGGGCTAACACAATATTTTTAGTATGTGCTTGATAATTTCTAGTTAACAAGCATTGGTCCTGTGCAGCAAGGATAAAACCTTCAGTTTCAGCTTTTAACCCTGCACTACATAGCCACTGATGGGTACGGGTTTTGTCTACATCAGCTTGTTTGGTACGGGCAGAGTATTGGCCATGAAGCGGTTTATCTTGCCATTGTTTCTGTATCTGGTCGGTTGCATTTGTTCTTTGCTTTTTTTTTAAGTATTTTGCAGTTTCAGCCGGTGTATTGTGCTTTACTTGCATTTCTACGCCCATTTGAAACTCCATTTTGAACTTGTTGGCTTCTTTTATTACGGAATAAAGACGCTTACTACTTTCATGTTCTTTGACACATATCATCCAGTCTTCTGTAGTTTCCAGGTATCTTTGAAGGCCAATTGTTGTAGTTTTGTAGGACAGTTCTAGTTGAACTAATCCTCTGCCTCCTTCGGATCTGGGCACATACAGACGATAAACATCAGCTTTGGGATGATGCATGCGGTAGCAAGTGAAAATTTTTCTTGTTTCGGCGTCCATTCGCTTAATGTCAGCTATGGTCCAGTTAAGGACATTAAAGCTGTATTGCACCACAGGGACAGCCAACGTGTTTATGGCTGATATTCTTTTTCTGGAAATCAGCTCGGTATTTAGTACCAGACGAACACGCCGGTAGTACTCCTTTCTTACCTTCTCCTTAATTTGGGTATGTTGTATACCATCTCCTTCGCTTATTCCTAGGTACTTATGAGCTTCATCTTGTTCCAGTTTCCTAATCTTTGTGACAAAGTCTAAATCTATGGAGAGTGTTCCTTTAATTCTCCCTTTCTTAAATATTACTTTTGCACATTTATCTAATCCGAAGTCCATACCTATGTCGTCATTGAAACATTTTACAATGTTGAGGAGGCCTTTCAGCTCAATGTAGTCTTTGGCAAAGTATTTGAGATCATCCATGTAGAGTAGGTGATTGAATACGTTCTTATTTAGTTTGTAATCATAGCTACTGGTGTTTAGTTCTTGCGTAAGGTGGTTTAAGGACAAACAAAACATAAAGGGTAACAGAGAATCTCCTTGAAAGACTCCGCGTCGGATATTCAGACGGTTGGAGATGGCAGTGCCTCTGGTGTCATTTAGGTATAGTGTGGTTCTCCACATTCCCATGCTGTGCTTAAGGAAATTTACTACCACAGAGGATACTTTGTACATTTCCATAGACTTAAGGATCCAAGAGTGTGGCACACTATCAAAGGCTTTACGATAATCAATCCACTCTGCGCTAAGCTTTCTACATCGTCTCCTGCAATTTTCCAGGATCATTTTGTTTAACAGTAATGGATCTTTGCAACCATATGAACCTCTCTTGCATCCCTTCTGTTCCAGTGGAAGAATGTTGTTTGCTTCGAAAGAAGAGTAAGTACGGTTCGTTATGGCAGATGTGATCAAGTTATACGTGGTGGAGAGACATGTTATTGGCCTATAATTTGTTCAGATCATTTATTTCACTTGTTTTGGGCATGAGATATGTAATGCCTTCAGTGATCCATTCCAGGATTTCATTGGGATTATTTACAAGCGTTGATAGAATTTTTGCAAGGGTTTTATGGATTGATGAGAGATGATAGAGCCAGAAATTGGGCCCCTTGTCATTTCCTGGAGATTTCCATTTGGGGGAATTCGTTAGAGCTTGTCTAACATTATTTGTGGTGATATTTTCCCACTCTTGCAGAAGTGTATCCAGCATTCGTTCTTCTTCACGATGGATCTATTCTGCATTTGGGTTATATTCCTTTGGGCTGATCCAAATATTGCCCCCAATTTTCTGAACCTCGTCAATAGATGGTGTCTTTTGGTCACATATAGGCGCTTTTTTAATTTCCCTGTAAAATTTCTTGGAGATGGGTCCGTTTGGAATATTTTATTTTGGCAAAACAACCTACAATGTTTTTCGTATCGTCTTGTTCTCTGTGCCCTTAACTGAAGTTTCTCTTTCAGCATTTTCTTGATTTACGGAATTTCAGGTAGGGATTTCATTTTATATTATTATTTCTTTCTTGTGTGTGTACAAGTGGGTTTTTTTTTCCAGTAAATGTAAAATTTAAATGTAAAATTTCAATAATAAAATAAATTAAATTAAATGTAAAATTGCTACAAATGTTTGTTAATTCCGAGCGCTCTAGGGCTAAACTTGTAGCCATTTTAAAGGATTTTTTTACTACTTCTATAATAAAAGTGGTGTATAGGATGAGGTCTTATCAAAACGTATCAGAACTGTTGCTATGGTAATAGAGCTCAAGTACGCAGAATGAAGCTGCTTGACCTTATATAGTCCTCGCTCAATTCCATTGGTTATAGCAACGCTTGGAAAGAGTGTTGTCGTCTCACAACACCGCAGAGGGTCTGTCAGTGACAAATTCTTGGGCAGAAGTTTTAGGATTACAAAAATTCCAAATGAAGTTACGACAACCACCGTATCACCCAGATCTCGTCCCTTGCGACTTTTTCCTTCCAAAAATCAAATCCCACTTGAAAGATTTCAAGACATAGAGGAAATCTAAGAGAATGCGACGATGCCGTTACTCGCTATCATAAAAAAAGGAGTTCAAGGAATGCTGTCATCAATGGAAACGACACTGTATAAAGTGTGTGGCTTCAGAAGGGTATTACTTCGAAGTCGATTAAATACCGAATTGATACATGTTGTAGTTGTTTTTTCATAGTACCAGTCCCGATACTTTCTGATCAGTACTCGTCTAGTGATTTACCAAGCGTAGCTTAAATGGGATACAAGCCCGAAAGTATGGAGCAACTAGTGAGGATCGAACACATTAGGCAGTTTCATCATTTGAGGTTTCTAGTAAAAAATTTTGGATCCTCATAATGGCAAAGCGGTGGGGTAGCCTATCATATAGCAAGGGTAACAGTAAAATTGTCCAAATCGCGTAACAACATAATTGCCCATGGAACAAAAAAATTAATAAAAAAAAAAAAACTAAACTATTTAAAATATTTTAAATTTTTTCAGATAAGACGTTTAATCAGCAAAAGCTAGAAGGAATTTGTAGAGTGTCTTCATCAGGGAAAACAACGGTTGTATTTAACTTTGACTGTGATTTCTGCAGCAACAGCAAAGTATCCAATGTTCCCCGCCTCCGACAATCAACATGTTTTATATAGACATTTTTATATCTTTCTAAAACTCAAAAATAATGTTGAATGGAACAAATTTCAAGACGTCTTGAAAAATAAAAGAATGCGACGAAATAATATATTTCTTTTATATCATAAATAAGGAGTTTCAGAATTGCTTCCATCAATGGAAGCGACGATGGATAAAGTGTGTGGCGTCAGAAGGAGATTAAATGCCGAATAGACATGTGTTGTAGTTTTCTTTTTATAGCACCAGTGCCTATAAGGTGACTACTTCGAACGAGACTAAATGCCGAATTGATATATGTTTAGTTTTTTTTATTTCAAAAAAAGGGACTATTTTCGAAGGAAAATTAAATTAAAGGTTTTAAATATATATTGCAGTTTTCTTTTTATAGCACCAACCCGATACTTTTTTATCAGAACTCGTAAGTTTTACTGCTGACGGTTTAATAGTTACTGAATGTAGACATATTTATAATTTTCAAACATGGTCACTACATTGTGGCGGTGTTCGTAATTTATATTATTAAGGGTTGGTTTCTTTTATAAGGACTTCCATTATTTTTCAACGCTTTTTGCTACCGGGAAGTACGTATCATATTCGAGTTCTCGTCGTGTATGTTGCATATTGAGGTTGGTACAAATGCACACTAGTTTAAATGTGTCCGTATTGAGCTCTGATCAGAGAGATGTGGCGACAGTCGTCTTGACAGTTGGGTACTGGTGTGTCCAATATAATTATTTATGGGCTTGTTTTCGTCAGGAACTCATTTCGCTACTGGGGTTGTTAATAGAGTTTGCATGCCGAGTGGACTGGAGTTAAAACTCTGTGTCTTTGTCACCTTTTTCGGAGTTACCGTTATTGTTTATACCAGTCAGTTGTAGTTGTGTCTTTATTTTTATTTTTTATTTTTTTTTAAATCAAAGGTACCAAAACGGAAGGCCAAAATCGAACCATCCCTGTTCACAATTCTATTAACGTTCTCCTCAGATGAGCCACGGCATAATTTTGCAGTCGACCGAATGAAACAAAGGGAGCTTGGGGCACCAAAATGCAGGCAAGTTCAAATTTAGTGACGGACAGACAGACGCTCAGGCAGAGAGACAATATATTTCAAGTGGGAAAAAAAAATGAAAGGGTTAACAGAATTTTAAAAAAAAGGGAAAAATTTCGCTAGGGAGAGAATGGTGTTGTCTAGGAACGGGCAGCTTCTTCGTCATAACGGCAACAGCAGTAGCAGCAGCAGCAGTGACGGGAACATTTACGCCCTTAAGGTTCACACCTACTCATCCTATCATTCTGTCTATATCTACCTCTTTCGATCTCATTTTCTCTCTCTACATCTTTATATCACCGTGATATGTAGTTGCCTGTGATTATGCATATTGCGTGCACATATACTTTCCCTATTTCTATCTCTTTCTCTTTCTTTGTCTTTTTTTTAACCTACTCTCATCCATTCCATTACTCGCATTCTCTTTAAATCATATATCTATCTATCTATCTATCTATCTATCTATCTATCTATCTATCTATCTGTTTTCCATTAATTATTTACGTATATATATATATGTGTGTGTATCTATCTATCTATCTCGAATATATATATATATATATATATATATATATATATATATATATATATATATATAAGAGTCCATTTGCTTCATATAGTTTATATAGCAGAGTACATAAGTTGGTCAAAAAAAAAAGTCAAATTTTTTTTATTTTTGATGAAATCAGTACGAAAATAATTTATTAATATTAACCAGGTAACAAAATGCAGGACACTGAATTGAAATTTCATTTTTTTCAATTTCTATTATCTATCTATCTATCTATCTATCTATCAATATCTATTTATCTCTCTCTCTCTCTCTATATATATATATATATATATATATATATATATATATATATATATATGGTTATATTTTCTATCTATCTATCTATCTATATATATATATATATATATATATATATATATATATATATATATATATATATAAATATAAATTATTTGTGTGTGTGTGTTCATATCGATCTAGCCCAATATGCTCATATATCTATCTGTCCGTTTTCATATCTATGTATCTCGAGTCAGTGCTTATCTCACGTTTATTTATCTATCTATCTATCTATCTATCTATATATATATATATATATATATATATATATATATATATATATATATATATATATATATATATATATATGTATGTATATATATAGTTCTATCTATCTATCAATCTATATTTATATATAAATATGTGTGTGTGTGTGTGTGTTCATATCGATCTAGCCCAGTATACTCATATATCTGTCCGTTTTCATATCTATCTCAGTCTGTGCTCATCTTTCTTCATATCTGTCTATTCATATCTATCTATCTATCTTAGTCTCTTTATATCTATCTATCTATCTATCTATCTATCTATCTATCTATCTATCTTAGTCTCTTTATATCTATCTATCTATCTATCTATCTATCTATCTATCTATCTATCTATGTTAATTCTTATTTCTTTCTCTTTTTTATGCATCTATTGCATCATCCCGTTGATTTCAAACGTTTCCCTTTCTCAAATCTCACTCTTTCTCATTCTCATTCTCTCTCTCAATTTCATTCTCTCTCTTTCATAGTATATTCTCTCTCTCTCTCTCTCTCTCTCTCTCGTTGCAAATTCTCTCTCTCTCTCTCTCTCTCTCTCTCTCTTTCTCTTAATTCGCTTGTTATGTCTTGTTTTTTTGGGTTTTTTATCCACTTCTTTCTTAAATTCCCCCTTCTGTCTTACATAATCTCTTTCTTTCTTTTTTCCACAAATGATTTGTCTCTCTTCCTCTCCTTATCTTTTCCTTTCTCTATCCTCTTCCCTTCCTCCCACTCTGTTAATAAACACTTGCCTATCACTTACTACTATTCCCTTTTTTGGTTTTCGTTCTCTTTTTTTTTTCCACTTTTCCAAGCTTCTCTTTCTATCTCAAATCTTCTGTACCCCCCTCTCTCTCTCCTTCCTTACTCTCTTTTACATTACTCTCTCTCTCTCTCTTTCACTACTCTCTCTCTCTCTCTCTCTCTCTCTCTCTCTCTCTCTCTCTCTCTCTCTCTCTCTTCTATTTCCCGTTACTTCTTTCTAGGTTCTTTTTGTCGTCTGCCCGTCGTATTTCTCTATCCATTTTTCTTGTCTGGTCCTCCCAGATCTTTTTCTTCTTCAGCTTCACTATATAACATCGATACATAAATTCCTTCCTTTCTATTTATTATTTTTCCACTCTCACTGCCTTACCATTATTTCTCTCTCTTTTTCTTTTTCTTTCTTTACAGTTTTTTTTTCACTTTGTCTGCCTATCTTTCTCTCTCTCTTTTCTTTAACTCTTCTCTCCCCTCACTTTCTATTTAATATATTGGCCTATCTACATTTTCCTATTTCTCTCCATATCTATCTCTTAGTTAAAAATGGCGAAATTCAGTCAGAAAATTTACAGGAAGAAGACCGCGCTGTACCAATCAGCAAAATGTGTAGGGTCAGCGTACCTACCTGCAACGAAACAGGTTTTTGAACACCTGATTTCATCTGGGTTCGAACACAGACTATTGACTTCTTTCACGAACACACGTACACACATTCATACAGTCCTTTGATTTATTCTCTTTTGCTTCTCTTCCTCCCACTATACACCATTCTTACTTTCTCTTTTCTTTTCTTTCTTTCTTTCTTTTTTCTTTCTTTCTTTCTTCGGATTCTCACTTAATTTCTTAATACTTATCTCTATATTTTCCTTACTTTCTGGATTTAGAAAGAGGCGGATTAGTTTTCGTATTATTACTTCGGATTTTTTTTTTATCCTTTTCTCAGTTTGGGTGGGGGTGCGAATATTTTTGCTCGCTTATTCTTCTTAGCTTTCTCTTTCTCTCTGAGTCATTCACGTATCTCTCTTACTTTCACCTTTCTCTTACTCCTACTCTCTTCTCTTCTCTCTCGCTCTCTATCTTTCTCTTCCTCATTTTCTGTCGTACCTTTTTTTGCGAGTCTCATCCAATTGCATTCCTTTCTCTTAATCGATCTACATTTATTTCCATTTCCGCGCCTTCTCTGACTGTCTCCCTGTTTCTCTTTATTCGTCTTTCACTTTCTTTCCCTTTCTTCATCAATCTATTCTTCTTTATCAGTCTTGCATTCTAAGCCTCCTTTACTCTCTCTCTCTCTCTCTCTCTCTCTCTCTCTCTCTCTCTCTCTTCTGAATATCATCTTTTGTATTTCCCCTGAAATGTGTATTTGCACAGAGAGTAAAATCGAACGAGGGTCGATAACAACAACAATAATAACAACAAGAAGGAGGAGTAGGAGGAGGAGGAGAATAGCAGACTAATGTTTATAATAATATTAATACTACTACTAATAATAATAATAATAAGAAGAAGAAGAAGAAGAAATTATTCAAGCAGCATTTATGAATTCTTTAAGATTTAAGATAATTCTAAGAGTTTTAAGCAGACTTGTTGCCCCTTGATCTATGTCGACTATAGTGAAAATAAAATATAATAGAACCCTACGCTAATCACACTAGTACCATCACCACTACTACTAGTAGTACTACTGCTACTACTAATAATAATAATAAGAAGTAAGTAGAATGTTGGAATATTGAACTGACTTGCTGTCACTTAATTATCAGCAAGAGTTACCAGATATATTTGATATTGAAAATTCATATAAAATAATAATAATACTAATAATAATAAAGATGAGGAAAGTAATTCTAATTGTGATTATGATAATCAGTGTATATATTATTATTAGTAGTAGTAGTGGCGGTGATGATACTAGTAGTAGTAGTAATTGTAGTAGTAGTAGTAGTAGTAGTAGTAGTAGTAGCAGTAGTGGTATTCCGATGAAGGCACAAAATCGGGGCTAGTTGTAAATGGCGTATTGGAATGTCAGACTGACCCTTAACATATTTACTGCCCTGCAATTCGCGTGTGCGTCACTAACAACAGCCTGCAAGACTGTCTTCTAATGTATGTGTATTCGGGTATATATGTGTGTGTTTGTCTGCGTGCGTGTGTGCGCGCGCGGGTGTGCATGTGCGTGTGAGTGAGTGCGTGCGTGCGTCATTTTAAGAAGGTGTGCTTTTGCACGTCTACCAAAACGAATGCGTGAGGACGGAAGCCAATACCATGTGTATACATATTTCAGCAAAAATTCCTCGGCGCTCTCGCGCACGCACGCACGCGTGCACGGCGCACATACACAGACACACATTTACGCCTTCGTATGTAAACACACATATGGGAGTATTTACTCGCATAAGCATACGCATTGTGTTTTGTTCCCGCTTTTGTCTTTGCACTCCTCTCTCTCTCTTTCCTTCTCTTTCTCTTTCTCTCTCTCTCTCTCTTTCTCACACACACAAACACACACACACACACACACACACACACACACACACACAGATAAATGCAGAAATTCTCACTTTCTTTAAATAAAGTGGTTCTGAAAAGTTCTCGGCCCTATACACATTTAAAAAAAACCTGATGCTTAATTATTTGGTCACATTTTGGGAAGTGACATGGGGGTGGAGCCGAGAATTTTTCAGCATCCCTCCATATATAAAATTTGTGTAAATAATAATTACTTTCGTTTATGCATGCATGTAGACATATTTTTTCTCTTTTTTTTTTTTTTTTTTAATCGAGATCACCCCAAGCAAGGTAGTAAAGCCACTAAGACACATGGGGGTTACTGGATGTGGAAGAATTAACAAACAGAAACATTACTAAGGAGCGAGAACAACAGAAAAATAATCAGGAAGTCAACAGATAACGACTGGCATTGCATTTAAATTTTGAAGATCGTAGTTGGCTGGAAAACATGGAACCGAAAGAGAGTTCCACAGGTCAGAAGTACGAGAAAATAAACTGTATATATGTATATACTCCTTGCATGGAGTATTGCTGCCATATATGGTCTGGTGCCCTTTATGTTTGCCTCAAGGATCTTGATAAGGTCCAGAGACGGATATGCAACATAATTGGCCCTGATCTGGCATCCCGTCTGCAGTCGCTCTCTCACAGACGTGCCGTCGCCCTCCCTCTGTCTTTTTTACAAATACTTTCACGGTAACTGCTCCGATGAGCTGCTTTCGCTGGTTCGCAGGCTTATGAATTTAAGCGTTCAACTAGGCTGGCATCTCGCTCTCACCCTTTCACTGTCGAAACTGTTAAATGTAGCCGTCTCTTCTACTCCAATAGCTTCATGTCTCGAACCTCTCGCCTGTGGAACTCCCTTCCCTTTTCCTGTTTCCATGATAGCTATAATCTCCAACTATTCAAATGTAATGTCAATCGACGTCTCCAGATGTCTTGATCTATCCCCTATCCTTCTCTTCATCCTTTCCTCTATCACTTCTATTTGCTTTTGCTCCAACTCTCTGTAACCCCGTGCATGCTAGTAGCTTCTCGCTTTGTTTGGGGTGAAACGCTTAAAAATTATGAACGCAGTTATATCTGTCAAAGTAGGACAGACATAAAAAATCATCAAATAAACAAGACACACACAGAATTAATTAACTACAGGTAATAAGGATTTCTCCATGGAGCGAGTATAAAAGAACACTATACCTTATTTCGTGGACTAAAACGTCATAAAAGAAGTTCACCAAAATATTGCTGTTGCAGCTGCTCTGCCCACAGTTGCACAAGAGGATGTAAGTCCTTAGCAGAACGAAAAAGTCACACTCCGGATACTTATATGCAACAATAAATCAAGCAATGATATTTTGCGAAAAAAGAATCAAATGTATTTCTCGGGACGGGAAGTTGAAATATTTCGTGGGGGATTGTTTACCCTAACAGTACCTGCAAAATACCGCTTTCTAAGACAAATGATTAAAAATGACTTCGAGAGTATGAAGCCTGCGGTTCTAGGCAAAGATCATACTTTTTGTGGACTGGCGCTACAGAATCACAAGCAAAGAACTATACCGAAAAACGGAAACCATATCACTTGAGGACTACCAACAGCAGCAACAACTAAAATGGATAGCACATGGAACTTGGAGAGAAAATAATCACATAATCAAGATGTTGACATTCCAAACTACTTCAAATAAAAGTTTGGAAGGTAGCCTCCGTCAATATTGGAAAGAACCATAATAGCTACTGGATCTGAGAAAACCTTTTTTCCAGAAAAGGTTCGGAAGGTAGACTTCATCAATACTGGAAAGGGCCATAATATTTACAGAACTTGAGAGAACTTTTTAGCTACTGGACTTGGGAAACACTTTTTCCTGAATAGGTTCGGAAGGAAGCAGCCATCAATAGTGGAAAGAACCATAATAACCACTGGACTTGAGAAACACTTTTTCTGAAAATGTTCGAAAGGTAGACTTCATCAATGCTGGAAAGAACCATAATAGCCCCTGGATCGAGGAACACTTTTTCCTGAAAAGGTTCGGAGGTTACGCTTCATCAATACTGGAAAGAACCATAATAGCCCCTGGATCGAGGAACACTTTTTCCTGAAAAGGTTCGGAGGTTACGCTTCATCAATACTGGAAAGAACCATAATAGCCCCTGGATCGAGGAACACTTTTTCCTGAAAAGGTTCGGAGGTTACGCTTCATCAATACTGGAAAGAACCATAATAGCTACTGGACTTCAGAAACACTATTTCCTGAAAAGTTTGGGATGGTAGCATCCATCAATACTGGAAAGAAACGTAATAGCTACTGAACTTGAGAAACCCTTTTTCATGATAAGGTTCGGAAGGTAACCTTCAATACTGGAAAGAACCATAATAGCTACTGAACTTGATAAACACTTTGTAACAATTTCGGACAATAGAATATTTTTTATAAAGTTTTCCATAGAATAATGAAAGGAATTCTAGTTGTAATAACAGAAGCAGGTTTGTGCAGAGGACACCTGAAAGAGAACAGTGCCTATAAGAATATAGAGCCTAGAAAACGAATTAGATCTGTCTATATAAGATAAGACAAAGCACAGTTGCTGAAAGAGACGAAACTATCATCTAATAAACGAATACAGCAAGCTGTTTCCGAAGTGTATGCATAGACCTGAGAAGGAAAGATGAACAACCAGGAACTATACAAGATTTCTATTCCAATGCATCTTTTTGATTTTAGTGTCACATATTGACCATCTATGAAGAATTGTAAAAGTTTTAAACTTCGTTACTTCTTTGATTTTAAAGTAATTCTACAATATTACTATTTCAATGCACCTTTTTGATTTTGGTGTCATATTTAGACACTGTTAAGAACGGTAAGATCTTCAAACTTCTGTACATGTTCAATTTTTAAAGAATTATACAAATTGCTATTTCATTTTGACATTGCTGTCACATTCTGTCCCTCTGTTAAGAATTGTAAAAGCTTCGAAATTCTGTACTTATTTATTTTGGCAAGTCTTAATTCATAATTTGCCTCTTGAGAAAAATAAGATACATTGTTAGGCGTTATTTCTCATAGTTCTGCTCACGAGTTTTTTGAAAACCTTTGTTTGACCTAAATATTATTTTACTAAAAGATTTATAGAACATATGTAAAGTCTCTGTAACGGAGTTACAAATGCTTTATGCATAATTTATCGTCGTCACTTTGTAGGTATTTTTCATCATATATATGTATATATATATATATATATATATATATATAATTATTTATTCAAAAATATGATTCCAACGCTACATAAGAGTTCTCATGTTTCAAAACATGAGAACTCTTATGGAGCGGTGGAATCATATTCTTAAATAAATAATTATATTTATTCTCTACTTTTGTATCGAGTACTTTTTTTTAAAATAATAACAAAAATACTAAAGAACTTGGGATTATTTACCTAACGAGTTCTTTCCTATTTTCTATATATTTTTACACACACACACACACACACACACACACACACACACACACACACACACACACACACACACACACACACATATCATATATATATAGTCTTAAGATATGCTATATTTATGGGATAAAGTGAACAATATTTAGAAGATTTCATATAAATAATACTCTAGGTAACTTTTTAAGAAAACGCAGGGGTCGATTTTTCACTATACATATACAATATATATATACTCCTGAAAAAATTATTTCGTTTCAGCTCTCTGGGGAGGAAGTGTGGGTTTGTAAACAGTGACTATTACGG